GCAGCTGATTAAGTTCAGTCAGCTGGTAGATGACGGGAGGGATCTCGGAGAGTTTGTTGTGACGCACATCCAGCATGGAGAGTTTTGTGCAACCCTGAAGAGTCTCGGGAAGGCGTGTGAGCGAATTCTCCTGCAGAGTCAGCGTCTTCAGATGGACCAGAGTGCCGATTTCATCTGAGAAGGAGAGGTACAAAGGTAAGGGGGAGATTAAGTAGGAAGAAAAGTTGTCCGCCATCCGATCAGAGGATGGCTCTAATCTCAGGGATAGTTTGTCTGACGAACAAGACAATGGTCATCACCACCACCACCACCCTGGGGTCACTTAGACGTTAATTAGATTACGTGGCAAGGAAGCCTTTCATGACATTGGCCTCACCACCAACGCGCTCCGAGGAAGTGAACTACTGGATATGGGTTTGCGGCAAGGACAGACGTAAAATAGAACCGCCGTCTATATATGGCATAACACGGTTGATCTAGCTACTACCGCCGAATCAAATTGCCCAGTTAAATTCTTCAGGTACTGGAAAACGGCGGCAGTCACCGCTATCCGGCTTCGAAAATTGATTGAGACGGTTGCCGGGGTGTGACCGCGACGACCAGCACGGCCCCGTGAAGGTACACCTCTATCAAGGGAGTGACTACTCTATCCTCAGGAGAATATGGGTCAATCAGCGAAGATGGCATAGACACCCAACTTGCACAGCTATTACGGCTGCGTGTTGCCAAGGTGAGCATTACCTCGCACTCGCATAGTCGCCTGTCAACTACGCTTGGTGGCATCTTGCTGTGAAAGCTAGTGCTGGTGGTATTCGGAGCCTCCGTTTCGCCGTCGCTCGTGCTTACCATGGTTCCCGCCCCCCAAAAGTACTATTCACTGATGCCGACCCCTTTGACCGTCCGGCGGCCTGGTCTGCTGCAGCGCAGTCTGGTCGTTGACGGGGCCTGACAAAGATAGTGGACGTCAGACCGGTGCAGCTGGCGTCTAGGTGCACCGAATGCCCAACAAGGGGTTGTCACCTTGATGGACTGAGCCGCGGTGGTTCGACCATCGCAAGCGGCGAAGTCCCGCACTGTCCCCCACGAGGTGAATGCAGCAGCAGCAGCAGCAGCAGCAGTGACTTGCGCGCGAGTTCACTTATGCTGCTGCAGGCGCCGCCCGCTGCATAAGCCTCATTTTCTCTTTCCGTGCTCATCGCCTTCGACAACAATACCGCCGGAGGTGGGTGTGGACGCAGTGCTGCCAAAGCTAGAGGGTTCGTTTGTTAGTGCCACACGCGACTCCTATCTCGCATAAACAAGCGTGCTATTAAGACCGCGTTAAAGCTTGAGTTTCTGAGGACGTCTACTTGCTTATAGTGGGGAATCGAACGTTCGACCACTCTTCGCTCCTCCGTGCACCAGTGGCTTGTCTGAGTCAAGCTGACTGGGAATGGGACTTGGTGCAACGGATGACGTGGCGTCCGCCTTCGGCTAACGCATATTACGTATATACGTTAGTGGTTAACGATTTGCACAGATTCAACGCAGCCCGTTAGGACCGAGTCACAGGAAATGTCTTGCGCAGCAGTTTATTCCTCTCCAACCCCATCCAGTACCAATTTTCCATATATAGCCTCAGAGAATCTGTGCTGGGCGCAGGAGCCACAGCCCAGTGACTGCGCCGATCGGCAAAAAAATCAAGGCCGACGAGTTTGTGCATACGGTCTACCGTGGTAATGACGAGGGGACCAGCCTGTTTTGGAACATGCACAGAGCGAGGAACGCCTGGCCGACCACGTCACCCACACCCATTTTAAGTCGTCTTAACCTCCTCTTGTAAGTGAGTTAGGGCGATGCTACGCAAGTGGTGCTCGTCGTCGTGTTAGATGGACGAACTACTGCTGCTACCGTCAAGGCCAAAACGCGAATGAACTGCTTATAAAATAGGCCCACACAGGATGCATCGCACCAAAATGCAGAAAGTCCATCTTCTCTGGCGACTACCTCGCAAAAGTCAGTATCCCAGGACAAAAAGACTGGATAAAACTCGACTTACTCGGTAGACTGGACAACTTGTTTGAATAAAGGTGGAGTTCAATCAGATGGGCAGCCAGATCACGTATGCTGGCTGGCAACACATGTATCTGGCACTTGGAAAGGTCGAGGCGAGAGCTGGCCATTTCACGGCAACGATTGATCTCCTTTATAGAGTCCTAAAAGAGGCAACTACGTTAGCCGGTGCCACTCAGGCTATAGAACGCATTATCTCAAAGAATAACAAAGCAACGTGGAGTTTTCTGAAGAATGCACAAATAACGAGCATGGATTTTAACAATACGAAAGTTCCGCTCGATATATTGACAACAACACAGCGACAGTATCACCTCCATGCCGGGTGGAGCTGAGGATAAGACCAACGAGGATGGTCATGAAGATGACAACTTTCCTAAAACAATCTACTGTGGTTATTTAACTGGAAAAATTGGTGCCCACAAAGTTAACTTACTTCGTTTTTGGCACGCAAATGTGTACAAAGGACGATCAAAACACAACCATTTACAAAGAGTCAATGTCATCTAAACTTACCGAATTTGTCTTCTTATTCTTCTTGAAATTGGGTCCGCATTGGTAGGCCTTCTGATCACCAGGACGCTGCACAGTAACCTTGTTTTTCTTGTGGTCAAATGCAGTTGATCCGACCAGGGAACTTTTCTGAAACCGGAGAAGACAAGCAACATGTGGAGATCATATTGAGTGTGTGTGAAGTGGGCAGGCCTTGTCAGGATTTAGAACCCACAGGCCAAAGCACAATGAATCACACCGGCACTCATCGCGGGGGCAGAATTTGTAAGGTATACAAGATCGGTAAAACAACAGTTAGGAGAGTAAGGGAAGAG